AAGAATTCTTTATAGGCCAAATAAGTACTTCACATGGTCTTATTATCACAGGGTTTCGCATTCGAAAGCTCCTGTAGATTACAGAGATAATTAATTAAATTAATTACCACCAGCTATAATCGAACCGTTGACCTCGTCTGTGGAGGATTAGGTGCCTAAACCACTAGGTTATTGGACCCTAACCCTAATTGTCAGAACTTGAAACTTTCAAAACATTTAAATTAAAATTTTATCTCTTAAAAATGTTTGAATTTAAATACTTATTCTGCAAACATACCTTTGCAAGCCACAATAGATTAACTTAACATATGAATAAATGTGTTAATAGTGCTAAAGTTGAACCTATTGTTGTGAAAAAACCTGCTCCAATTCACAACATTTTGAAACTATCTATGTTAAAACAAAAAAAATATAATGATATTAAAAAAAGAATTTTAGTTCTAATAACCGATAATGATGATCACCAGTGTAATGTGTGTAACTTACATGTCTAAGTGTGATCATATTGAGTCACGTTGAATCACGTTAAATGTGTAACCCACATGACTTTTTATTTTGTTGAAGGTATTTGAATAAAAGGTTGGGTTAACAACTACTGTATAATAAATAAAGTGAATGTTTGTTTAACGGTCAATTCTAAAGATCTTGCACCTTATACTGTTAGAATATACAGTATATAAAGTAAGTTTTATGCTCACATATATAAATTCTAAAATTGCTAAGCTTTCTTACAGACTCGACTATAACTCTATAATTTCTTGAAAAGTTTAGCGTTGAAAAGGCAGTAACAGAGGATCTTTGTAAAAATCCTACCTGACTTCATAATAATTAGTATAACAGCAAAGTAGAAATGGCATCAGCAGAGGCTTTGTATAAGGCAATAAGAATTAAGCTATTAAAGGGTAAGTTTTGTGTTTGCGTTATTAAATGCTGAATTTGGAATTTTTATGAGTTTGACTATGTTTAACTTTGTATATATGACAATAGCTTTGTTCTAAAAGAAGATATTACCAAGTTACTTTGTAAAACACTACTCTTTGTAATAATCAACCTAGAATTGGATAAATATTACAAGTAGGTGTACTTATAAGCTTTATAATTAAAAAGCTTTGTTATGAATTTTAATGTATAACTTACTTACTATAGTTTTATCTTGATTCTGAAGAGAAGGCATTAACAGAAACTACCTTTAATAATAATTAACTTTAGTATTGAGGCAAAAAATTTTGTGAAAGCTCTACATTAGTTTATTTCTAAATACTAAGAGTAAGTTAAGGTTATGTTTTTTTTCTAAATAGTTATTTTGCACAGATTGTATAATTAGTAGATTCTAATAAAGCATTTATATAGATATGAAAACTGAAGTAATAGATATAGATATAGAAACTGAATTAGTAATGGAAAATCAAGCGATTCAAGATAGCCATTATAATATAGGGGGAGTCAATAGAAAAGAGACAAATCGTTTTTAGTAAAATTTTTTTAATTTTTAAATTAAAATATCTCAATAATTAATTACTTAAATTTGTTAAATTTTTTTATTTTAATCTTGAAATTATATAGAACTAAAATAAAAAAATTTTTATTAAATTTAATAAGATAATTGTCAAGATATTTAAACCTAAAGTCAAGAAAACTTTTATTTAGAAAAAATTTGTCACTTTTCTATTGACTCACCCCCATATTTCAAATGAAAGTGCTGTCTTAGAATCCAATAATCAGATTGAAGTTGGTAATACATTTTTTCATGGAAACTTGCAGAAAAATATCTCAATGAATATGCAAAATATAATAGAGTTTCTTTACATCACAAACGGGTTGAGCATGATAATAAAGAAATCATTAGATGATAAATATTTGAATGCAGTTTTTCCAGAGAGATCATGTTTTGTAAAGTTATTGATCCAACACAACAGCATCAACAACCTTCAAGAAAAATCAATTGTTCTTGGCATATTAACCTTATCATGCCAAAGAAATCAACCGAAGTTGGCATTATGAGTATATGTAGACAACATAACCATCTTATATTACAAGATATAGAATTATATACGCCTAAATATCAGAAATTAACAGACGATATATTGGAGGACATTGAATTTTATATTAGTAAAAGTAACATGAATGCAAAACAAATCTACCGTTTATTGGTTGTTAAGTATCCGGATCATGTTTTATTAAAAAAAGATATTTATAATGCTATAAAAAAGTTTAAATCACTTCTTACAAACTGTCATAGAGATGCACAAAACATGTTAAACAAATTATTAGAGTTAAAAAATAAGGATAAAGGTTGGATAATTTATACAAAGCTTGATCCATTTGATAATTGGCTTGTTGAACTATTCTGAATGTCTTCCTTTCAATATCAATGTCTCTTATGATACAATGATGTAGTTCAAACAGACAATATGTGTTATACTAATTGGTTTAGTATATATCTAACTCTTTTGGTTGTTATAGATAGTAATACTAAGAGTCGATTAGTTGCTCAGTGTTTGTCTGAGGATAAGATAGTCGAAAGCTATAAATGGTTTTTTGAGTGTATACTTCAAGTAACCAACAATACACCGCCAATCTGCTTATTTTCAGATGCTAACCCAGTATTGATAAATACAGTAGCATTAACAATGCCTAGTACTCAACATTTTCTATATATATTTCATATACAAGAAAATTTAAAAAAGCATTTGCGAAGTAAATTGAGAAAAAATTATGAGGAATTCTATAAAGAGTTTCTATATGTAAGGAATAGTTTGTTTGAGAATGACTTTCATTGCCAATGGGCACAATTAGTTAACAAATATCTACAAGCACAAAAGTATCTCAATCAAACTTTATATAAGAATTACCAGACATGGGCCAAATGTTTTCAAACCAATATTTTTACGGCTGGAATTCAAAGCATGCAAAGAGTTGAAGTGATGAATCAGCTAATAAAAAAAAAAACAAATAGTATATTTTCGCTATATACATTACATAATCAAGTTCAAACATTATTAGATAATGAAGCCAAATAGGCTTAACATAATAATTACCTTCAAAGTTTTCCAACAAATGAAGCACTATTAATTGTTGAATCTATTTTTTTTGAGGTGTTTGATTTAATGAAAAAATATTTAACACCTCATATTCTATCAGTTCAATGACAGCAAATTTTTAGCTCTTTATTATATCATTCAAAGATGGTTTCTAAAAATGTTATAAATGTTATACAGGTATGTTTATTAAATTGTTACTGTATAAGAAAGTTTAAGTGATTATATTATTTACTATCTATAATTATTGCTATACTATTTAGAATAACGAAGATATTGATTTTAATGAAGGTTTCCTTGAAGATGAGCTTGACAGACTACAAGCAACCTTGTTTTACTTAATGGATAAAGTACAACTAGTTGATATTGTAGAAATATGGGAATTAATCAGGCTTACAAGAATATACAAACATTACATTATTTTACTAGCTGATGGAGGTTATTTATATACATGTTTGTTAGCTATTAATCATGGAATAGTGTGCTCATATTTTTTCCATATTATGATAAACTCAAAGTCAGCAAAGTTTAATATTAGTCTTATACCTAAGCAATGGTATAAAGAAACTATTCAAGATAATAATATTCAACAAGAATTAGTGGAAATAATAACACAATTTCAGCATATCAATAATAGTGAGCTAATTACAAATAACTTTCATGTCTTTAACCAACTTAAGGTATCACATATATTTACAACTGAAGTACAACAACGGGTTCAGAAAAAAGTTAAATATTCTTATGGGTTTGGAAAAGTTAAAAAGGCACTTAACATGGCTCTTGATTTGGGATGTGAAAACAAATTTAATAATATGATTGATGGATTTATTAATTGTAAAAAAATCAGTATTGAAGAAACAAATAAAGAAAACATACAAGTGTTTGTATCAGATCCTATGGTTATTAAACATTGTGGACAACCTGCAACTAAACGAATAAAAGTATCATTTGAAAATGATATGCAATATAGTAGAACTAACAATAGTATACTTAGTTTATCTGATCTCAATTTACATGTGTGATCAACAGAAAAATTGAGTAATATATCTGCATTAAAAGTTTCTTTTGAATCTATAAATGCTAACAAATTGAATAAAAACTTCTTAACTGAATCATCAATAACTACTATACAACTTAGTAATAATAAAGTTAAATGTAAATATATATATCAAGCATGTGGTGAATCAGGGCATAATGCTAGAAGCTGCAGTAAGAATACTAAGTAATATGCTTTGCATTTATTATATTTAAAGAGATAATATATATGCTTGCATAATGTTATTGATTATTTGATAATAGTCTTTTATTTTGCTATTATCTAATGTGAAGTGAACTATATAAAGTGAACTTTATAAATTGTAATTAATTCGTAAAAAAGTGCTAATTAAATCCTTTTAAATACTAATTATTTGCTATATTATTATAACAAATGAAAGTATTATATAATAAACTTAAATTTCTAACATTTTTTGAAAGCACTACTTTATATGCTATAGCAAAAAAATTCAAAATCTTGTTATAAACTAAGCTTTGCTATGATTAGTAATATAACGGTTTACTTTATAACTAGTTAAAACTTATACTGTAATGATATAAATTAACTCTAATTATTGCTTTGTATATATTATGTCTTAGATTAATGCTTGTCTCAAGTGTCAATTAAAATAAAGTTAAAACAAGAGTTAGAGTAAGTTTAAAGTTTTAGGCCAATTAATATTGATTAGTTAATGCTAACCAAATATTAATACTTGAGACAAGTATTAATCGAAGCACTGATATATACTGTATTATAATACTTATAGTATAGTATTTAATGTTAAAGTATTTGAAGTTACACAAAATAGTTTGTATAACTTTGTGTAACAAGTATTTTGTGCACTTATATTCTGTAACACAAATGTTACTATCACGTGATGTAGTGATCGTCACTATTATGCATTTATATTCTGTAACACAAAACTTAATATTACATGATGCGGTGATCGTCACCACCGGTTATGGTTAGCAAAATTCATTAATATATATAGTTAAAATAATAAATAAAATTATTAATTACCTCATATGTTCTATTAAATAATTTAGATAAAATTCTATATTTATATTAGAAAAAACATATATAAATCGATAACATTTTTCATTAAATTTCCAATTTGTATATTCAATAAAATATGTAAATTCTGCAGCATCTTGACGAGTTAAACGACATAATATTGGTTTTTCTTCATATAATTTATTATTTTGTTGAAATTTACGAGGAGATTCTTGAGCCACTAAATAAAACCTATTAATAAAAATATATATTAATATAAAATTTAAAATATAGTATTACTGTATAGCATAATATACTGTATTTTTAAAAATAGCTTTGGATACTATACAATATGTAATACAGTATTTTTGATAACTTACTTAAAAGTATTATTGTTTAAATTATTAGATAAAATTTCTTGTGTAATGCATATCATAAAATTAGAATCAGTATCCACATTTTGATGTACTTCATTTTGAAGCTCATTAGCAGAAAATTCACATAATTTTGAACCTTGACAAATACGTATTTCACATTTTACTTCAATATTAAGATAAGGGCATATGACTTTATATTCACTTTCGGATTTACTTTTTTTTTTTTTTTAAGCGATCCTGCCTTTATTCTTGTGAACTGTTATATAATTTTTACACCCAAGTGTACAAAATTCTTACAACTTATTGCTCTAATGTAATAAAGACTCACCAAGCATGAATGCCCAATGCGACCTGCTATATCAACTGTTTGTCTACTCAGGGATCATGAACTTACTTACGATTTCGTATCTCAAAGGATACACCCTCTTGATTACGGACTGGCCGTTGTATACCTCGTCAGGATCACCAACCTTTCTTCCAACTTTTTCTACCAAAATCCGGGCAGAATAACTATCTCCTACTCTTCTATAAGCAAGATCATATATACTACATTTATGAAAGACCAAAAACATTTAGGAGAATGAAAGGAAAATAAAACCAAAAACCACAGAAAGAAACTATCCTAAATATAATTCTATCATAAATGAACCAGCAAAAAAAGTAAAAAAGAAAAGTCGGTGATTCTGACAAGAAAAAAGAAAAATGCACTATTATAACCCGTACCAGGTGAGTATAAAAATTATATACTTATAGCAACACTACATATCTCTATTGTATGGCTTCACCTATACTATTAATTCCTCTTCGACTCTACTATTTCTGGAAGTCTTCGCCCAGGTTCTTCTAATTAGGTACTGTCATCATCCCACACCGACTCTTCAGTTTCCAGCAGCCCCGAGCCAAAACTGGTAGCACCATGTTCACTTATACCAGACACGTGATTGCCATCTACCATGTCAACCGGATATAGAAATCTAAACACTGTGTAATCTATGCCGATCGTTTGGAGGGAATAAGCCAAATCTCCACTTTTTGTCGAAATTTTTGGAAGACCAACGGGAGGGCAAGTAGAAGAAAAAAAGGAACCATTTGGTCGAGTAAAAAAGTGCGGCTTGAAGAAAGGCAAATACTTGTTGTTTCCTCTGTGTTCCTCATTTCGAAGTAACAGCCTAAGTGCTTCGTTGACGGAGAAGACTCCAGTCTCTTCATCAAGATTTTGTATCCAAGGGTACACACCTTCTGCCAGTTATCTTGTATACTAATGCTCTTGGCTTGTATGCCAAACACACAGCTTATAAAGGAGTCTCGGAAGAAAAAAACTATTAACCTCTAGACAAACCACACATTAGGCCACGACTCTCCAACAAGATTTTTGTTTTTTTTCGGTAGGAAATTCTGGTCCAGATGATTGTCGGAAAGAGTTCTGTTAAATTGAAGTTTTGCACTTTTGGGTTTACTAATTGAATATTGGATCTAAATATATTAATAAATATATATTAAATTAAGTTTAATTAAAAATTTATTTATTTATTTTTTTTTTACGTTTATAGACCAGACATTTTGTCTTAGTTTATTATGTTTTTACACGTATACAATTAATTATATAATTCATTACATGTGAATCACAACATTTACTGGAACTATAGGGCTACTTTACCCCAATGCCTAATGTTTACTCTGTAATTTTGTTAATACTCCCATCAGTACCACTATAATTTAGGATTTTAGATCATATGCTTTCCAACCTCTATATTTAATCTGTATATCTACTACTTTTCTCATACAGGAATCATTAACTCCCAGACAGGTAACTCGGCTTATAATTCCTTTGAGGCATTCATATGTATCTTTACTTGATGTACTTTCTAGTTTGGTAATCACTTGATGTTTCTGGTTTTTTCTGTATATAGCCTTCTTTCCATTTGTGGAGCTCCCATGTGTTAGTCAAAGTTGGGGCCATATTGTGTAACTGTAGTTACTCCCAATTGAGGTTTTGTATTTCTACTTTTAGCTTTTTGTATTGGTTGGTTTTTTAGAATTGGTAGGCCCCTGCTTTTTTGCTTTGCCCTTGTTTCATATTACTAATACCAGCCCAGTGCTTCATGCTATTTTGAGTTTTTACTATGCTCCATAGTTAGTTAGCATCATCACTCTATACAGATTTTCTATTTTGGACTTCAAGCATATATGCCAGATGTGTTCAATTTCTAGTTAAGGCTTATCTTTTATCTACAGCTCCTTACTATATTTACTGCTTCTCTCATTGTTAGTAATGCCATTTACTCTATAGTTTGGGTCTTCTTTTTGAGAATTTCTTAATCTAGTCCTTTACTTCACTTGGACTTTTTTACAGGACTTCGCATTCAATTTTCTGGCTTCTATGATTATTGAGAAAAATCTGAAGAAAAACCTCTAGCCATAATTGAACCATCAACCTGCTGTGTAAGTTTAGACATCTAGACTACTAGACTACGGGCTCTAAACTTTAATTAAAAATTTATTATTATTTATTACTTACATCTTTAAATGCAGCTAATGGCTCTTTCCAATCTTTGATATTAAATACATAAGTGACACTCTCCTGACTTGTTATAGTACAATATTAGATATTAATTCTTTTGTAAAATAAATCACATTATTTTCGTTATCTATTTCATGTAAAATTGCCAAATTATATTCAATATCATCAGATTCTTTATCCGAAGTCAAGCTCTATTAATTAATTACTTTAATTAGAAATCCATTTAAGATATTTTATTTTTTAAGATGTTATTTATATCAATAGTTCTATAACTTTCAAAACTTTCCAAACATTTAAGATGTTTAAGATCCTCTTTGTAAATCATTTCAATTCCATTAATAATTTGAATAGAAAAATTATTCATTTTTATATTCTAAAAATTATATATTATTATCTATATTCAACAAAAATCTCAAAGTTTTCAAGTATATATTTAAACAGATTATTTACCTATTCAAAAAATTGTAAGTAAAAAAAAAATCTCAAAAATATCATTTTATTTAATACTGTATCATTCAAATAATCAATACAGTATGTATATAATTACTTATTCTTATTACAAACTTTTAATTTAGATAACATCGATATTTTTTATATATATGTAATTTTAAATTATATATTTATCACTATATACATATAAGTATAATTAGTATAATGTTTTACTATACACAAGTATGATTGGTATAATAATTTTACTATGTACAAGTATAATCATTATGATAGCTTTACTATATATATAAGTATGAAACTCAATTGTAATCCTACTCAACTACATTTGTATCTTATACTATACTACTTTAGGTATAAATTATAGTTAATATATAAAATTAGAAAAGTAAACAATTTTAATTATTTATTAGTATTTAATTTAATATTAATTATTAAAAAATAAATATATCAAAAATATTAGATTTATATATATATATATATATATATATATTTTTTGGCTCTTTGATAGTCTTGCCAAAGCTTAAATACAATACTTTATTTAAACAAACTTGAACAGAATAAATAATAACAGTATAACAATTGCAAGCTTAACATTACTTGACTGTATCTAGTGTGCCCAAGAGTAGTGTTATACATGGGAAAATTTTGGACATTTTTTCAAATTAAAATTACTCAAAATTTTATTAAGATAATCTAGTTTAATTTTTCACTAATAAGTCCAGTATCTAAAAAAATATATAATTATATATTTTTTTAAATTACTTTATTGATTAGTTATACATGGGACATAGACTTGGACAATTTTAGACAATTTTAGACATTGGACATTTTATATAGTATAAATACATCCCATGTACAACACTATATAGGAGTAACTTGTCACACCAACTTATATGTAAGTTAGAAGACCTTGTCAGCCCACCAAAAGCCTATCTCTTCATTCTTACTTTCTTCACCAAGAGCAAAAAAAAAAAATGTTCTGTATTTTCAATACTAGAACATATATCAAGAAAAAAAAGAGTTTATATACAAAAAAGAAAAAACAAAAAAAAAGAAAATAATAAAGAATAAAAATAGAAGAAACAGTAAATATAAAAAAATAAAAACTAAAGAGATAAACCCAGACAGGCTGAACAAGAAAATACTATCTCTCATAACTATTATAAACTATGCTAGACAAGTATAAAAATTATATAACAAATACAATATTTGTATATCTTTACTGTAAAGCTTTGCTTTAATATTAGTATTTCTTTCTAACTATATGTCTGACTCTGAAATATTTAGCTTGACCTAATCCATATCTCAAGCCAGGTGCTACTGCCGTCCATAAATCTGTATCTCAAGCCACCTGCTGCTACTATTAAAACTCAGGATTTGTTCAAATTAGTAGCACTGTATTTGTTAAACACATGATTGTAATCTACTTGGCTTTCTGAATTTGGGATATAAGCAATGTTGATTCTTTGGAAAGGGTAAGCCAAATCCCCACTTTTTATTTAAAAAAATTTTTCAAAAATGGCAAGAGTTATAGAAGATAATTTTAAAGGTAAAGAGCAACTTAGTGCTGCAAATCAAAAATCACAACTAATTAAAAAGTTGACAACTAATTAATTGAAAAAATTTTGGCAACTCATATTAAGGGTAGGGTGAACATCAATCATTTTTACTAGTGATCATGTTACTAATTTTTTTATAATAACATTTAATTGAAATCAGGTGATGATTATATGATATTTATATTGTGTAATTTAGGCAAATTTCAATCAATTTAGGAAGAATTAATGATATATGCAAGTATGTTTTTTTAAATAATACAGGGGTTTAAATTATTATAATTAGAATTAGAAGGGTCTAATCTATCTACTCTAAAACTTTTATGAAAATCGGTTACATTTTAAAAACTTTTATATATAACATGTATTCGATTTTTGTGTAATATTTTTTTGGTTGATCTACTTATATAAGAAATGATCTATGTTCATCCTACTTTTAAAATCGAATAAAAATCAAACAAAAATCAAATAAAAATTAAATAATCAAAAAGTTGACAACTAATTGATTGCAAAATTTTTAGTGATTTGTAGCACTAGAGCAACTACTTGCAAAGCCTGTAAGGAGTGTATTGAAAAATAAAAACTTTTGTTGTTTTCCTTGTTTTTTTTGTTTAACTTTTAAGAGACTTTGTTAATGGAAATCTTCCTTTTCAGGACATCATCTTCACCAAAATTTTTTATATAAAGACACCTTCTGCTAGTTATCTTGTATTAAAATGCTTTTGGCTTGCATGCCAAATATGTAAAGAAGTTAAAAGAGTGCAGTTAACCTCTACAAAAACCACCTTGTTAGAATACAAAACAATATTATTTCTAACAAAATTATTATTTTTTTTTGGGCAGAAAATTTGGAACAAGTGATCATTGGAAAGAGTTATTGAATACTTTAGATTTTTTTTTTTTTTTTATTCTTTGACAGTCTTGTCGGTGCTCAAATACAAATTATACTACTATTAGACCAAAAACAAAGTTTAAATTCTAATAATAACTAATTAAAAATTGCAAGCCTGGCATTACCCGGCTACATCATATGCGCCCAGATGCGATGTGTCGCACCAACCTATATACAAGTTAGATAAACTTTGTCAGCTCATCAAAGCTTTTCCCTTCATATTTTCTTTCTTTACTGAGAGCAAAAGAAAGTGATGATCTTATATCTAATACAAAACTACCAATAGTATCAAGAAACAAATGAAAAAATAACTAAAAACAACAAATAGAACGAAAGAGAATTTTTAAAGGAAACAATAAAGAGGGTACAATGAAATGTAAAAAAAAGAAAATTAAAGAGAAAAGCCCGAGAGCTAACAAAGGGGGAAACTACCTCTATCAAGAAGCAGTACAAATAAAACGAAAGAAAAAGGGAAAAGTACACTATTATAACCTGTGTCAGATTTAAGAAAAAATTTTAAACAACTGTAATATTTGTATATCTCGACTATAAAAACTAACAACTTATTATCCGACTACTAGCCACCTCTTCTGCCAGAGACCTGATCCCAGTCACGTGAAGGTCCTGTAACTATAGACTACGTCACATACTGTGTTCACTGATAAACAAAACATGTGGTTGCATTTCTGGGTACATCTGAATTTGGGAGGTAAACAATGCTAATCTTTTGGAGGGGGTAAGCCAAATTGTCCACTTTTTGTCAAAAATTTTGGAGAAAAACCGGCCAAGCGAAAAACACCTAGGAAGAGACCACTTGTACCCAAAGAAAGTAGTTACATCCATGTAAAGACTCAACAACTTCTAAATCTTCTTCCAGGAAAGGGGTGGGGTACCCATACTCTCTTGTCGGTAAGTGATAAACTCTGGGCTTGTTGGCAAGTAGTGTATGAGAACTACTTCTAAATGACAAATGCCGTGTAAGCAGTGAGTGATAAAATCTGAAAAAGTTAGCAGATAGCGTATGAAAACTATCTCTAAATAACAACTGCCAACTTATAGCCAAGTGTGCCCTTCATTTTTACTATATGCTATTGTGTTTTTTACAAAAAATGTGGTTGGATTTTTTGGTACAGATGATTGTTGGAAAGAGTTGTCTTAGATTTATATTTTAATTTATAAAAATTTTATATTTACTAATAAATAATTTTATAGTTAATTAATTATATATATACTGTATATTCAATGAATATTCAATGAATTATTTGGTGAATAAATTAAATATTCAAATATTCATTTGGTGAAAAAAATTTTATTTAAATATTTAAATATTGTATTCAGTAAATATTCAAATATACTATTTATTGAATTAGACCTTTAGGTATACAATAACCTATTAATGATTAAAAGAATATTCTTGTAATATAAAATTCTTAGCAAGTTAAGAATTTTGAAAAAGACAAACTGTTGTTTTAACAGGTCAACTTGGGTTTATGCTTGGGTAGTTTTTATTAGCTAGAACTAAAATATAAATATATCTGATA